CTGCAACATGACCTCATGGCTCCGAAACTCAATCCCTCTACCAATAAAACCTAACATACTGTACGCCTTCTTAACAACACTATCAACCTGGGTGGCAACTTTCAGTGATCTATGCACATGGACACCGAGATCTTTCTGCTCATCCACACTACCAAGAATCTTACCATTAGCCCAGTACTCTGTATTCCTGTTACTCCTTCCAAAGTGAATCACCTCACACTTTTCCGCATTAAACTCCATTTGCCACCTCTCAGCCCAGCTCTGCAGCTTATCTATATCCCTCTGTAACCTACAACATCCTTCCGCACTATCCACAACTCCACCGACTTTGGTGTCATCCGCAAATTTACTAACCCATCCTTCTACGCCCTCATCCAGGTCATTTATAAAAATGACAAACAGCAGTGGCCCCAAAACAGATCCTTGAGGTACACCACTAATAACTGAACTCCAGGATGAACATTTCCCATCCACCACCACCCTCTGTCTTCTTACAGCTAGCCAATTTCTGATCCAATGAGATGAGATTTGAAGTTCTGTTCTTGCTTAATAGAAGAGTGAAGTTGCTTATTATTTAATTCTGTTGGAGTGAGATGACAAGTGCAAAGATTTTAGCAAGAGCTGAATAAAATGATTTTGGATCTTGAATCTGAGGAAATACTGGTTCATAGCAGCTACATTCTGATCTTGAATAGGTTACCTGAAATCCAGAGGTGGTCACAGAGATACTAGAAGTAACAAAGCAATGGAGGTGGGTGTAACCATCACACCTGGAAGTTGAAATATTATTTCTTTATTAAAATTATCTCCTGTTTTAGTGGGACCATTCTGTGCTTGTACCAGTGCGAATAACAACACTTACTGGTGTTTGAGGACCTACAATGAGACCCACAATTTCCTGTTCTGTGAGTTTGCCACTGGTTTCTTGGAGTACTTTGACCTCAACACAGATCCTTACCAGGTAAAAAAGAATCACCAACTCACAGAATTGTTGCAATACATTGAATGAAAATAATACAAGTTACCTCCCAGCACTGTGCTTAATTTTAGAATTTTTACAAAAGATAGAAATTGCAACAAAATCTATGCAAATTGATTATACCTATTAGTTCTATTGCATACTTGTACTTGTTATATACTCAATCAGATGTGGAAACTGAGTGGCCAAGCAGTGATGTATTGAATGAAAACGATGGTATTCCATTACGTGACACAGGATTAATGATGCACTGCATTTTATCAAATCTCTCAAACAGCACACAAACATGTTTGAGGTGGTCTGCTGCAAATTCTCAAATGCCTTCTGCAGGCTATTCAGGATGACACTAAGGGTGAACCTAATACATTATGCTGTTCCATCAATTCACATCTAATGGCCAGTCTAGTTCAATGTAAATCACTTGCTTGTGGCATTATGCTCCTCTCCTTTTTTTAAAAAATTAACCTATTTTTCTAATCAACTGGTTCAGAAATGTTATTTTGCACTTCTGGAACAGGTAGGGCTTGACCCCAGCCTCCCAGTCTGGGTGTAAGGACACTACCACTGTGCTACAAGAGGGCCCTTGTTCCCGCACAATTAGGAAAACCAGCTGGTGATCTTAAAGATACTAATTGCCTGCTTCGGGGAGTTGGTTCTAGAACCTTGGTTAAACCACACGTGTTCAATGAACAGTTCTAATCTCCTAGTTATGCAAAGGATTTGGATCTACTGGCTAAGATGAAAGGAAGCTTACCACAATTATTAAAATTAGTGAAAAAAAATACCAGGCTGGATCTATTTTCAACAGAAAAGTGAAGATTAAAGTGTAACCTGAAATAGATATTCAAGATTATATAGGGATGAGCAATAAATACTGGCCAGTCAGCGATACACCGGTCCCATGAGAGAATTTTTAAATAAAATCCCTGTAACACTGATAAGAGCAAATTTTATGGGGAAAGCTGATGCTGTGGATAGACTCCCACCAAACTAATCAAATTGCTTACGCGATCTGATACATTTTATTTAGTGAGTATCATGAGGCCGTGTCTGTGAACTCCCCAAACTGCTGCTTGAGGAAATTATACTGGCACTGAACTGTAGCTAATATAATAGAAATGTTTGAAAGCAGAGGAATGAACAGTTATTAGTGTGCGTTGCACGTGTTCTGTAATGGTTAGTGGAATCCTAATGAGCTGTCCAAATTAAATTGTTTAATGCATAAATGATTAGCATTCTCTTTTAATCAAAGTTCATATTTTCCATTTGTAGCTGATGAATGCAGTGAATACATTAGATCGAGATGTTTTGAACCAGTTACATGTACAACTTATGGAATTACGAACCTGCCGTGGCTTTAAACAGTGTAACCCTCGGACCAGGAATATGAGCACAGGTACAGTTACCTACCAGTATTCCTATAACTGAACATAATGCATGCATTGTTTGCTGATATATCTTGTAATTAATATACAGAACAAAATCAATGTGAAGGTTATTAATGTTCTTTAACTTTGTAATTTATAGATCACACTACAGAAAAATGAAAACCTGGTTAATATTTGAACAGTTAAACTATTGTTCTGGAGATACAGTTCAAATTACTTATGATACTTCCAATGGGTAGCTATTAACTTGGTAGTACAAGTGATTCAGAAGTTAATGCCCTTATTAAAATATATTGCTCACACTGTCAGAATAATTGACTAGAGTTTGGAGTTCATTTTCCATATACCATCAATATTAACTTTCACAGGGACTAAACTAGCTAAAGGGCTGAAGAGTTTGTTATAAACCTCAATATTCTTTCAGTGAACAAGCTTAAAGATTTTGGACGTATAAGTTGAAAGTATATGAAAAATCCATACTCCAAGCTCATATTCATGTTAGTTCTAGCATTTCTTGCACATATGCATGGTTTACTTTGAGTTGAATTTCTCTCACACTTGCTGGGCATGTTTTTGGGAGGTGAAAGGTAATTAAACTATGCCAGCTGGCTAGTCTTATGCCTTCATACCCATTCCAGAGCTGACCTCCATGGTACAGTAAATGGGCTGTTGTTGGAATTGGCAGCTCACTTGGCATATGTAAGTAAAGGACAAAAAAGCTTGTTACTGGGCCTATTGACCTGGATACTACCCCGCACACTCCATAAGGCAGCTAACATGGGCAGGCCTTTTTTTATGGCCTAGCTGGAAAAGTTTAGTAAAGAAATGGGCTTCCTCATTCAGGGGATCCTGCATGTATCAAAGAAGTCCTTCCCTCCCCATTACAGAGACAACAAGGTGCAGGGCTGGATGAACACAGCAGGCCAAGCAGCATCATAGGAGCAGAGAGGCTTACGTTTCGGGCCTCGACCCTTCATCAGAAAA